GGGTGACTCTCTCGAGTTTTGCCGCCAAGTCGTGTATCATGAGCTCCAACTTTGCCATGTTCTCGTTGACCACGTGTTGTTCGTTGCCAAGGGACCTCACGCTTTCATCAAGCATATCGAACCTCTCACGATTCGTCATGACCCTCTTTTTTTTTAAGACTCTAAAAATTTTCGAAAAAAAAGAAGAAGAAATTCGAAAAATTCGAACCAAAAGGAGGAAAGAATCAAAAGACTAGATGACACTTTTTTTTTTTAAGATCCACGAAAATTTTTCGAAAATTTGGAGAAAAATTCGAAAAAATTCGGACAAAAAGGAACAAAAAATCGTACCAAAAGAAAAAGAATGGGATAGGAAAAGTTTAACGTAATACACAATCAATCACTCTCAATGAAAGCACCAATGATGAAGGATCGTGTGTTTCGTTCCACTCGCTTGTCTCGAACACAGCTTCTCCACGGCCTTGCTCTCGACGATAGGTGTGATCGACTCAGTTATTAGCCTAACTCTCTCACGATACTTGAGTTCACTCGGTAATTAGCCTCGCTCACTCTATTTTGAACTGGCTTGGGTCTTAGCCTCACCAGTTCGATTTGTATGATCGAACTCTCACGAATCCTAACACACGGTTTCGAACAAACGTTCTTTTCTATTCAACTCATTCCAAGACATGAAAAACAATGAGGGAGCATCCCTATTTATAGATCCTAACTCTGACTAATTCTAATCTACCTAGGAAACTTATTAAAGCAATAAAATATTAAATTCCTAAACAATCTAGATATTATTGTGCAAGAAGGAAATAGAATCCTAATAAAATAGAATGTCTTGATCTTGCTTGGCTTGCACTCTAAACAATTCCAAGTTCACGCTGCCTCACTTCGACCGCATTATGCTTGCACGCGCCTTCGCGGCGTTACTCCTTGTTGCACGCGGTTTCTCGCGCGCGCGCTTACCCCGCACGTACGCGTGCACCGCCTCACGCTCGCCTAGTCCTGCGCGGACTGGGCTTCGCGCATCTGCCCACCACGCGCGCGCCATCATGCGCGCTATTTCTTCGCTGCCGCCCTTGCGCGCGTATGCGCCCAGCACGCCTAAACCTTCGCGGTGTAGGACTCCCGCGCCTGCGCCACACCCGCGCGCTATCTTGCGCGCCCTGTTCCAACCGACCCTCTTGCGCGCGTGTCGTCGCGCGCCTGCCATTCCTTCGCCTGCTAGGTCGCGGACACCACCTGCGTGCATTTTCTTCGCACGCCCGTGTACGCGCATCGCCCGCGCATCACCACCCGATGCGCACCTCCCGCCTATTGGCTATGCCCGGCCATTCTTCAAATTCTCCGTGCTCGATTACCAATCCCGTATCATTCCCCTCCTCTTCAAGACTTTCCTTGTCCCCAAGGATGAGAAAGTTCAGCACGTCCACATCACTATCTTTTTCAATAGGCGAATCGCCTCGATCCTCAGTTCTCAACTTAATGCGCTTTCCTGGCCGCCCAAATTCCATCTTTCCTCGCTTATAGTCGGTCGTAATGGGCCCGAGTGTTTCGAGCCATTGTACTCCCAACACTACATCAGTTGCCTTGAGTGGTAAGGCGTAGAGGTCAATCTCTAGCTCGTGATCCTGTGCCATAATTGGAACCTTCTTGAATAATTGACTACCATGCAGCTCATGTCCATTGGCCACCTTGACACCAAACTTGTTGACTTTTGTAGGTACCAACTTCAGCTTCCGGGCTATTCCTTCATCAATAAAATTTAAACTCGACCCGCTATCCACCAGTACCTCTAACAGCATATCTTTTATCTCAGCCGTGAACCTGATCATCTTAGGACCACGCTTGTTGCACTTAACCACATGTAACAAGGACTTCTCCTGTGGCGTTTCTTCCTCACAATCCTCCTCAAATTCCAACAGAAAGACTTTCTTACCTTTGCACTTGTGGTCTGGCGTAAACTTCACATATCATGTATAGCACAAGCCCTTCTCTCTTCGCTGTTGCATCTCCTCGTCCGTAAGACGTCGCACGCTGCTCGTGGTACGCGTCCCTTCGTTGAGTGCCAGCTTGGTCTCGGCCCGTGGGGGTGCCTTGTCGGTTACCGCGCTCGCGCGCTTCGGTTCTGTTGCGGACGTCGCCCCGTGTTGCCTTGCGCACGGCCGCTAGGTGGTCTTCGTGCAATCATGCGGCCTCCATCGCAGCCCGTGTTGACCTTGGCCTGTCCAAACGTACCTCTGCAGCCAACTCAGCCTTCAAGCCTCCTACAAACGCACCCACAAGTGCCTTCTCGGGCCAATCACGAACTCGGCTTGCAATCCTCTCAAACTCCTTCTGATAGTTGCGTAGAATACGAGTTTGACGGATCCTTGTCATAGCCTCATCGTAATCGTAGTATTCACTAGATCCAAACCTGGCGATGAGCTCTTTCTCAAAATCGCTCCACCTGATTTGCTCGTCTTTGTTCTTGTAAACATGTGACACCCATTGTCACCATGTGTTGGCTTCACCATCTAAATAGTAGGCAGCAATTTGTACTCTTTCAGACTTGTGTACCTCATTGATCTCGAAGAATTGCACGACACGACTTAACCATGCATCCGGATCTACTCCTTCGAACGTCGGCATCGTGATCTTTGGCCTCGCATGTGCACGCTCCTCGCGATGATGCCGATGGCCGTGCGTCCTCCGATCCCCGTGGTGTCGGGTAGTGCGCGTCACGCGCGTTCCCCGTGACTGTTCGTCGTCGTCATCGCGACTGGACGTCGAACTGCCCGTTCCCGCCAAGGTTGATCTTGATGTGCGGCTCCTCCGCGTGTGGTGGGTGACTCTCTCGAGTTTTCGAGCCAAGTCGTGTATCATGAGCTCCAACTTTGCCATGTTCTCGTTGACCACGTGTTGTCCGTTGCCAAGGGACCTCACGCTTTCTTCAAGCATATCGAACCTCTCACGATTCGTCATGACCCTCTTTTTATTTTTTAAGAGACTCTAAAAATTTTCGAAAAAAAAGAAGAAGAAATCCGAAAAATTCGAACCAAAGGGAGGAAAGAATCAAAAGACTAGATGACACTTTTTTTTTTAAGACCCACGAAAATTTTTTGAAAATTTGGAGAAAAAATCGAAAAAATTCGGACAAAAAGGAACAAAAAATCGGACCAAAAGAAAAAGAATGGGATAGGAAAAGTTTAACGTAATACACAATCAATCATTCTCAATGAAAGCACCAATAATGAAGGATCGTGTGTTTTGTTCCACTCGTTGTCTCGAACACAGCTTCGCCACGGCCTTGCTCTCGACGATAGGTGTGATCGACTCAGTTATTAGCCTAACTCTCTCACGATACTTTAGTTCACTCGGTAATTAGCCCCGATCACTCTATTTTGAACTGGCTCGGGTCTTAGCCTCACCAGTTCGATTTGTATGATCGAACTCACACGAATCCTAACACACGGTTTCGAACAAACGTTATTTTCCATTCAACTCATTCCAAGACATGAAAAACAATGAGGGAGCATCCCTATTTATAGATCCTAACTATGACTAATTCTAATCTACCTAGGAAACTTATTAAAGCAATAAAATATTAAATTCCTAAACAATCTAGATATTATTGTGCAAGAAGGAAATAGAATCCTAATAAACTAGAATGTCTTGATCTTGCTTGGCTTGCACTCCAAACAATTCCAAGTTCACACCGCCTCACTTCGACCGCCTTATGCTTGCACGCGCCTTCGCGGCGTTACTCCTTATTGCACGCGGTTTCTCGCGCGCACGCTTACCCCGCACGTACGCGTGTACCGCCTCACGCTCGCCTAGTCCTGCGCGGACTGGGCTTCGCGCATCTGCCCACCACGCGCGCGCCATCATGCGCGCTATTTCTTCGCTGCCGCCCTTGCGCGCGTATGCGCCCAGCACGCCTAAACCTTCGCGGTGTAGGACTCCCGCGCCTGCGCCACACCCGCGCGCTATCTTGCGCGCCCTGTTCCAACCGACCCTCTCGCGCGCGTGTCTTCGCGTGCCTGCCATTCCTTCGCCTGCTAGGTCGCGGACGCCACCCGCGTGCATTTCCTTCGCATGCCCGTGTACGCCCATCGCCCGCGCATCACCACCCGATGCGCACCTCCCGCCTATTCGCCTATTGGCTATGCCCGACCATTCTTCAAATTCTCCGTGCTCGATTACCACTCCCGTATCATTCC